ACGGCTTTTTCCTCTTAGTAAACTCATTTCCAAGTTACAGGGCTATTTATAGTAATTTGTCTCAATTTTTAACACATTTGGTGAAAATCAGGGTTGGTTGATCATAGTTTTTTATACCTTAGCACGTAACGAAATTATAAAGTTGATATACTCGTTTGACGCAAAATTTAACGTTCTTTAATTTATTAAAGAGTACATTTTCCGCTTTGATGTATCGTTTAGGAGTTATAGGTGAAAAAACAAAAACATATCGAAACAATCTTTCTTTTTTGGCAGTAAAAAGTTTTCCTTCGTGGCCCACGTTAGCAATTTTGTTTTTTATATATCTAACCCATATATACAAGTTAAAAACATTAAAATATTTTCTCACATTTTTTGCAATGGATTTCCCGTATCGATCCTCAAATTACTGCCCTAATATTCTTTAAGTCAACCACCATTTTTGAAAACAGCGGCTCTGGAACGGCAGACAAGGTTCGTTTTACTCCCAGGGCTATCGGATAAAGTCGGTTGGAGTCGACTAAATTAATTGTTTTTGCATATGGATTAAAATATCTCAAAAACTAAAAATCGGACCTGCATAATGTAAGCGAGAGAATTGTTCTGCATTTCATCCTCTCTGTAATGAGCTATTATTAAAAATTGTATCTTAAAGCGACTTCGTGTTAGAGAGGCGAAAAGGAAAAAATATTGTCCAAAACCAAATGATCACACGTTTTATGTAAGATATGATTTAAAATATCTCAGAAACTCAAATTCGGACCTGCATAATGTAAGCGAGGGAAATGTTCTGCATTTCATCCTCTTTGTAATGACCTATTATTTATAATTTATATTTAATATTATTAATCTAGCCTTGTTGATATTTTCACTTCTACCGTGTGGTTTGAAGCAGCTTAGTTTTTTTTTCAGAAATGTTAATAATTAGTTATTATCTTGAATTGTTAAATGTTTCTCTATACTTACGGAACACGCTGTATATTATATGTATATATATATATATATATATATATATATATATATATATATTGAAGACAGTGTCGACAAAGAGAAAACTAGCTTGCTGGACGCCGACGACAGAATTCTAAAGGACGTCCACTAATTATATCTATTACCTAGGAGCAACTGCCTCGGTCAGCCTGCCCGCGGCTATTTTTAGAGTTCATTCATTACTTCTGTATACATTTTGTAATCTGATATAATAATTATTATATCAATAATTTTACAAATGTAATTATATTTTTTTTAATATTTATTATGAGAAGAATAATTTGTAAAAGTACAAATTATATTTGAATCGGTGAGTGCAGAAAAAAAAAAAAAAAAAATGCGAAAAATCGTTTTCGATGAAAATAAGCTTAGAAAGGCAAGATGCGTGTTGAGTGCAAGAACCACGTTAGTCTGTTGAGTAGTCCATAAATACATGACATCTTTTTCTAACGTTAAGCGCAGAAATAACAAGAGTCAGTGATTGACGTGGTTTCTGCACCCGCCACTGAATCGCATGACCAGCAAAGATGGGTATATTTATATTAAAAATACGAATAAGAATACCATTTATATTTACGGTACTTATGAATATAAATATAAATGAAAACTTCAAAGTTTTTTATGATGAACTATTCACCTTGTCAGCCACAGCAATTGACAATGATACAAGAATGATCTTTAAGAGCATTTCACTTTGTTATATTCCTGTTTTATGATGACTTTGCAATACTGTAAGAAGAATAGTTGGGGTGATCAGTCAAATAAGAAGGCAAAAAATAAATGATAATATTTATTTTGACATTTCGACCTGATGTTCAGGCCTTCATCAGGGCTAAGAAAAGAACCAGATAACAAGGTATGAGAAACATAAGTAGTGTAGGTAAAAAAAAAATTAAAGTAAAATGCAGTTGTTAGAATAATGAAAATAGTAAGAACTAAGAGATATAGAATAATAACCGTTACAAAGTGTGGTATGATGAAGTAAACATAATCAAAAAAGGTGACATAAGTATTGAAATGGCAATCTTAGAATTAAATGTAAAACAGAAAAAAAGGAATATGAAGTTATATAAGAAATGAAAATAAATAGTAAAATTAAGATATTGCAAATAGAATAATCAGATAGAAAACTGACATATTGTAAAGTCTATCAAAATGTACTGACAACGTATAATAGAATAAAGAGTTAAAACAGAGAAAAGGAATGAAAGGAAGGAGGGAAAAAACGAGAAGGCTGAAATAAGAAAAAAAAAATAAAAATCAACCATAATTTTTTTTTACCTACACAACTTATGTTTCTTATACCTTGTTATCTGGTTCTTTTCTTAGCCCTGATGAAGGCCTGAACTTCAGGTCGAAACGTCGGCAAATGTCAAAATAAATATTATCATTTATTTTTGCCTTCTTATTTGTCTGATCACCCCAACTATTCTTCTCTTCATTATTCACGAAAGTCAACCATATACCCACAATTATAAATAAATTAAATTGTAAAATAAATTAAAATAATTATAAATTGTTGTAAAATAAATTGTTAATTACTTAAAATATAAACTTTTAATGAATGGTTACCTTTTTCCAAGTTTTCAGCTATCTATAAAAAAAAACAGTTGAGTTCAGAAATAACATAAGTCCGAATCAAAATTAAATTTTCCTGAGCCTAATTTATGTCGAAATTAGATAATTTTTGCATGAAAACAACATTAATACATGTTATGACAGGATAAAAAAAAAGTTCAAATATTTGAAAATTTGGAAGAGTTATGACGTTTCTTCTTTCTCCTGAAAAATTTTAAATTTGTGACTGAAGTGGTTTCGGCACTCACCGATTCATTTACCAAAGTTTGGAATTTAAATAACCTTAATATCTTTTATAGTTGACATTTGAACTTTATCAAAAGGTCAATGAAAGATGGGGTTGGATTTTTCTTCCGTTTTAGAGCCCCTAGACACGATCATGAAATTTATAAAGATGAAATTTATTTTATATGAACATATTTTTATATACTTACGTGTCAACACCTCCAGTGGCTACTTTAGTTTGAAATTTGTTATAAATTTTGTCTAAATTTTCACATGTACGAACAATTTTTTTTCACGTTTTCTTCAGTTTTTAAAGTATTATGCTCTCTAAAGCGTCTTCTAATTTTTTTAACCTATATTAAGTTGGAGTTGGAGAAATGTATTGCAGGGATCACTGTCACTATATAGAAATGTATCACAAGCCTCCATTTTGTTTCAAGATTGCGGAGGAAAAGTACGTTTGTTTCGATCTCTAGGCGCAAAGCATCCAGGTTGTCAACGGCACATCAACTAAATAACACTACTGTTATATAGTTCAGGTGGTTGGTACAAAAAATAAGAATAAAAATAAATAAAAGGAAAAAAAATTAAAAATTAGTAGAATAAAATAAATAATTAAAGGTCCGTAATAGACGCTTATAGATAATGAGATAGTATAGATAAATAAATAAACCTTTAAAAATAGTAATAAAATCAATAAATGAAGCGATTGGATAATAATTGAAATTAATATATAAATTAACTTATATTAAAAAAAAAATCTGCAAAGGGTTATTATTTATAAACTTTTTATATATGTTTGATAATTTTTTCACTGTCTAGGAACTTGATAACTTAGGTAACGATTTCTTCTTGATTTCCCAGGGATGTTGATATATTCTGTGGTAGTATATACACTATGTATATACACTATGTTGATATATAGTGGTATTCCGAAATCTTTTAACCTTGTGAAGTAAAAAGGGCACTCTTCCAAAACATGTTTTATGGTTAATGACTGGTCACACTTTTGACATCGGGGGATAAAATCTTTTGTTATTAGGTTAAAAAAAAGCCCGTACTTGTATTGATTTTCGCACCAACGGCTAACGGTACCAAAAAGTAGGCAAAATTTCGTCACTCCCCATCATCTTCTACTACTTTGTACGTTGAATATTATTTTTTTTTTTTTTAAATTATTCGCTTTCCTACGATATATTATACGTATACCTTCCGTTTATTATTTCCGAAAATTGATTTTCTACCTAAATAAACATTTTTCATTTTTTCTCCATTAGTCAATTTTCCAATTCTTTCATATTTTATATTTAGCTCTTTCTTAATACTGTTAATAAGGAGAGATAGTAAGTTATTCAAAATGAACCAAATTAAAGGTAGCTTAAAGGAAGAAAATTTTAACATTAGGTATTTAAGACCTGTTAAGCGACATCAATGGAGATAAGACCTACCTTATATTTAGTATTTAATTATACATTAACACTCCAAGTTTAATCAAAATCGTTACACCCGTTTTCGACAAAATTCTAAAAATACATGATATAAAAACATACTGCCGATTTTGACGGAACAGTTGCTGTAAAACACTAGGTATATACCTACCTCAAATACGTATTTACTGTTTCGTACGATTTTTCGTTATTTGGACTCGGAGATCTCCAAACGTGTATTTCTGTTGAAAACTCGGATTCGAAAGTTTTCACGATCGCAATACTTTCCCTTATTATTTATTTCATATAGCAATTTAACAGGTTGGAATTGATTTCTTTATAACTCGATATACTTCACCTTTAGGGAATTCTCGTGACCGTTTTGTGAAACACTTGTGTTGAGAGCTCATGCTCCGTAAAGGGCAGATCATACCATTTAACCAAAGGATTACCCACTTAGCTCTCTTGATCAAGTACAATAAGCCATAGGCGGAACTATGGGGGGGTTTTCGGGCTGATGCTCCTCCTCCCACTCAAAAAAAAAAAAATGGTAAAATATAACCATGTTTTTTGAATTTTTTTTTTTTAAAAAGTATTATTGTTCATCTAATTACATTTAATAGGACTTCAAGAATCAATTAAACAACATTTTATATTAGTAGTATGTTTCTTTCATTTTCTTCCGAAATAATTATCATAATATATATATAAAAGCTTTCGGGCTGAAGCCCCCCAAAATTAAATTAGTGCAATAAGCTTTAATTTATAATTCTTTTGCAGGCCTTCATCATTGGTTGGACGTTTCTTCACAACGTGACCGTCTATTTCGGAGGTTACCTCATCTACATTTATTACCAGAAAACCAAAGAAGATATAACGGAAAGTTCCTTTGCTCTGTGGATTCCAGGTCAGTTGTAGCTATATGGTTATTGTCATTGAACTTACTACAGAAGAAAAGTATGGAAATTAACATTTACATATCCTAATTCAGAAAATATCTACGGCTATGAAAGAACTTCCTAGGTCTTTGAAGTATTTAAGTGGGATAAATTGTAGTCCAATAGAAGTGTGATAAAAAACAATCTTAAATAATCATTGATTTTTTGAAAAATAGGACTTAGTGTAGTTTAGTTCCTTGAAAACCGTATTCCATTTAAATGGCTTTAAAAAAATACTTTTACAACTATAATACATGAAGGGCTTGGCACTGCCGGTCTCAGGGGGCTGACCTGGAAAAAAATTAATTTTAGCCTATTAATAAAGGAACTGTAATAGGGAAATAGTGAAAGAAATACAATTCAAATATTATATTATTTGAAACAGCTTTAGAAATTTATTTATTTAGAAATATAATAATTTGTCACGTGGACAATAATTATAGCGATATATGAACACATTCACACCATATATACAGAAAATACAAAATAATAACTAAATAATAATCAAAACACTTAAGAAATAAATTTATTTATTTTTTTAGGGGAGGAGGAGATGTCATTGTCTGAGGAGAGGACGCCAAAGTTCATGGTTGGCACTCTGTCTTGGGTTCAGTACTATGTAGAGAATTAATGTTTCTCGGTCAACATCTGTACAAGGAGGTGATTTGACTGAGATCACGCTCAACAGCCAGGTTTCCTCCTTTAATTAATTAATTAAGAGAACCCGCTTTACAGAGGCAGAGTGTGTCCCAGGAAGGTTTTCCGACCCCAGGATTGATCCACGACCGATGAAATAGAATATTTGATAACTTTAACAAAATTTACTTGTATTTAAAGTATATTTTGTCTGATTTACTGGTAGTAAATCAGTGATGTAGTTCAGTGGTAAGCTTTATAAGCTTTCAATGCTCAAGATCTCTGGTTCGAATCCCAGATCATAAATTATTTATTCTGTATCATTTGTCGTATTGATGGGGTCGGCAGATCTTCCTGGGACACACCCAATCTCTATAAAGTGAATACCCTTAATTACGTAATTAGTTAAGAGAAAAAACCTGGCAGATGAGCGTGATCTTGGCCAAATCACCTCCTTGCATAACAGTTTATCATGAACCAGTACTTACCTACGTAGTACTGAACCCAAGACCCTTCATGAGTTATAATAATAATAATAATAATAATGCTTTATTTATTCTGGGACGAGTCCCTTTAGAATAATACAGAGAGACAAAAATGTGGGCTAAGGAGCCTCAGAGATACATAAACAAGAATATAGTTTGATTAAATAGTCAAAAAAATAAATAAATAAAATAGAGAAATTATAAGTTACTTTCTAATTTACATGAGTTAATAATAAAAAATAACAAATTATAAATAAACATGAAGTAAAAATAATAAAGAATGATCTAATAATTTATATACATAATTACAGTAGTAACTATTTACAATTTTATAAGGACTGGATGGATAAGAAATAATTAAACAGTTGGGATTTAAAGGTAGGAAGGGTTTTGGATTGACGGATGTGGGGAGGGATGGAGTTCCATAGGGAAGAGAATCGAATAATAAAAGATTTATCGAAAACAGCCGTTCGGTGGGCCATTATATATAGATCTGAAGACCAGGAACGGGTATTGCGGGAAAAAAATAAGTTTTCAGTATTGAAATTATGGTGTTCAATATCATGAGTGGGTACAATTGATACTACAAATTGTAGTGGTACAATTTTTTTTTTAGTTATCACTTCCTATTCAACAAAAACCGTGAGGCTTAAAAAAACACAAAAATTAAATTTTATTAATTTTTCTGCATAAAATAGGACCATTGTTAATATAAACATTTTTGTAGCTCTTCAGTTATGCTATCACACCTTTAGATATATCTCTGTACTTCAGGTTATATGAAAAAACCTTGTATATGAAAATTTTGAAGCAAAAATTTTATTTTTTTCAATTACTGAAAATAAGATTTTAATTGATATTATATTTCATTAATATTTTTCTATCATATTAATTATTATCAATTCTAATTAATGATTCAAAAAAGGTATTTTTGGCATCTTTTGTGAACTCAATAATTTTAATTATGTAGTAAATATGTAGCCATAACTTACTATATTTGTTTTTTGTTTTTTTTCAGAATATTGGCTTACAGCTGGCTGTGTACTGGGAGGTTTAAGCGCGCTTATTATAGGAAGGAAGTGGGGAACCAAAATCCTCTTGCTTTTGATTAGATTTATTCAAATATTAGCTATTATAGTTATACTTAGTTTCTACGTTTTGTCCAAATATGCCTGGGTCGAGGAATATTGGGTCTTCGGACTCTATTCGACGTTCATGTTGCAGGTAAATACTATGTACTTAATATTATGTAGCCGTTCACTAGAATAATCACAATTTTCTCTTTTTAAATTATAAGACATGAAGTTCAGCTACTAAATGTAACATACACATATATTTGAAAAAAATTGTATACTTAAAATCATTATTGTTCCTTTGATTACTATTATAAAAAAAAAATTATATCCTAACTCTGCTACCGTATTCTTTAAAACGTATGGATGATGCTGTGGACATCTATCATTGGCTTCTTGCGATGTTGCTAGGTAATACAGATGCAAATATATCCTATTTTTTCCGCTAGTAGAAGCAGCTAAAAAGTTTGTCTCGGGAGGAAGAAAAAATATCTGTGATAAATATAAATTTGTGCAAATATGGCATTTAATTGACATTTTGTCTTTTCTGGGCATACGAGGAAGAAATAATCTCTTGTAGTAAAATATGATTTGATAATCGAATCAAATCAATTATAATTTATATAAAATTACATGAAATAAGAAACTGAGAGCATGTGATATTTCTAGAGAGAGAGCAAATTATGTTATATTACATTAACATCAAATTGATAGGTCATGTAGGGGATGGATATACAGGTATGTCACACACAAGAAAAGGGAAAATTCAGAATTTCTCAAAAGTCAAAACAAATAATAACCCTTAATTTTGAAATGACTCACATACGAGATATAGATTTCTGATACCATTTAACTCAATTTTCAATTTTTTTTTTTAAATTGGGACTAGATTATAATGAGTTAGAAGTATTTTGTTTCAAAAACAGTTTACTCACAAGTGAAAAATGGAGTTGGCTAATTTTAAGGAAAATCTATGCCTCGTTGACAAATAATTAATTATTTGTTTTTCTTTGCTGTTCTTCTCTATTATTCACAAATTCAGATTAGAACTTTCTCAAATAACAACAAGTCATTCATTTTCAAGATAGAAAAGCTCGGAGAACAGTAAATCCTGAACAGATCAAGGTTTTTGTTAATAAACATCTGGTGATAAAAAATTTTTTGATAAGGCGAAGTTTGTTTTTTCCGGTAATTAGTAATCAGTAGTTATACTTGGAGAAGAAGTTAGTCGGTGGTACGGTCAATATATAATACTATATTATAGAATAGTATTTTTTATTCTATTATCCAAAGTTTCGACCTTAGTTGTAGGTCTTCTTCAGGGCTAAAAAAGATACAAAAATAAATGTTAATTGATATAAAATACAATAAATGATAAATATTATATCTGTTGATATTAAACTAATACAGCTTACTTAAGAAAGTGATTTTGGAACTCATAAGATATAACATGAGTGATGTGGTAAAATTCCAGCATAGTTAGAAATACTAGTATATACTTAAACCTGCTTAAGATTTGTCTTCGGTACATCGAGGCGGTCTCATGTGTCCCACCTTTACAATGAGTTAAAGTGGCTCTTCCCTTCTTCCCGCAGACAATATTTCCTTGGATCTTTCCTATTCCAAACGATCAACACCCGACACCCTTCTTACATCTATAGTCCCCTACAGTTCAAACCCGTGGTCCACTCCCAGAAAACAAGATCCCGTGTTTCCAACCTTTATATCCCTTCCCATAGACTGCTGCCCCACCCACTGCCTTCTGGAATTCCTTGCCATCTGATATCCGCCATGCCTCTTCCTTATCTTCATTTAAATATCGTCTCCTTCTCACATCCCAAAATGAGGTTATACAATGAAATAAATGTTGCGAAACAGATTTTGACTGAGGTGAATGGTTGTTAAAATTAATTGAGTTTTAATTTTAAAAATCAACCCATGCTTACATTATTTTGTTTTGTTTTTCATTTAAATAATTTTGTTTTTTTTAAATGTTGTTATTTTTACTAGTTTCAATATACTTTTACTGATACTGTATATTTTCTTTAATATTGATTAATGTAATTTTTGGCCAGATGTAGTTTTTATTTTTTTGTTCATAACTGTTATTCATAAGGAACCTCATCCCAGAATAAAGTTTACTTTCTATCTATCTATATAATGTAATATTATATATTGACCGCACCTCTGACTAATTTCTTCTCAAACTTAGAAAAACACACTTTTAAGCACAAATAATAGCATTATAATTTTAATTTTATTTATCATTAATTATTTTAGGGATTTATTGATTGTTTATCGCAAATCTCAAGTCCAATTTATGTAATGGAAACGATCTGTGATAGAGAGCCGCAGTTGTCCGTTACCCTTCTCCTTCTAGTTTCTACTCAACTACCATTATATATGTCTTCGTTCGTTGCAGTTCTATTGTCAGAACACCATTTGTAAGTATAGAACCAAATATTCTTTGCAATTTGCAAAATTACTTTTGACCATTGTTGTCTTTAAAAAAATAAATTTTACATATAAAAAAAAACTTTTGTGTTGCCACTTACACTACTTTCTTACCAATCTCAAAGAAATTTAAACCATTATAAATATGTCAATTACAAAATAAATAAATAGGTTTCCATGGAAGCTTGTGCAAAATATTTTTAGAACATGGACACTATTAGTTCTAAAAAAAAATAATAACAATGCACCATATCTTTGCTAATACAGGTTCGAATTTTATGATTTTTAAAAACATGTGGGGGTTGTGCGATGTAAAGATCATTGAAAACCATACATCATAAATTTTAACCGATTACAATACTTTCCTTAACTAATAATGGTAGTAGAAATATGTATTTAATTTTAAAATGTTATGAAGATTTTTCTTTTGAAATGTTAAAAGAATACTTATAATAATTTTAACTAAATAAATACAACATACACCAAATGACGTCTGGGATAAAAATGTGATAGAAATGATCTTATAATTATGTAGCTGTTAATTGTTTATTCTCCCTCCAATGCTGAAAAAGAAATTTGTAGTCATGTAATTGTTAATTAATTTAATAATATCACTCTTTAACTTCAGAGAATATTTGTCCCATCTTCAAAACTTTTACTGTATTAACATAAAATATTCCACATATAATTAAATGTCACATTTAGTCAGACATTATAAATTATTCATTATAAATTTTAATATTTCATTTACTTTTCATGACCTCACCAGTGGATCCAGGATTTAATTTTGGGAGGGCTTCAGCTCGAAAGCTTTTGTTTTCATATATATAACGATAATTTATTTGAAAAAAAATAAAGAAAGAAACTACTTATATGACATGGTGTTTAAGTGATTCTTAAAGCTCTATTAAATGTTACAATAATACTTTAAGAGATAGGTTTTAATATTTTTTCCTATAAAACATGGTTATTTTTTACCATTTTGCATAATTTACCGAAAGTCCCGCCTAAATATCACTCGAGAAATTCCATTAAAACACTAAAAATTATTTCTAATAAAATTCTACAAGTCAATGAGAAGAGTTTTATTTATTTACTTAAAGTTTACCCTCTGGCATGCCTCTTGTCCTCAAGTACTTTTTAACAACATCGCGATACTGAATTCAAATACAGTGCAGTATTTCGGACTCTACTTGGACAAACGACTGACAAGGGCACACCACATAAAACAAAAAAGAAAAGAACTTGATTAGTGATACGGACTTCTTTCTAGGCTACTCGACAGACGTTCTAAATTATCGGTGATTAATAAATTAACTATTTACAAAGTCCTCATTAAACAACTTAGGACATATGGAATCGAGTTATGGGGAAGAGCTTCATACATAAAATATAAAAAGAATCCAATCTTTCCAAGCAGAAGTTTTCTGGAAAATTGTATTTTATGTTTCTAATCTTACGTTACACACTGACCTTGACATTCATTTTATTACATAAATCCACCCAGAAGACTGCTGAGGCACTCTCCAAGGACTTACTACATTGAGCTGCTTGCTATATTATACTGTTTTTTACTTTCCTACCTATACTAGGTAAGGAAAATATTGCGATTGGGTAAAATTTCCGATATGTGGTTTTCAATGGATCTATACATTTCAGAGCCTTCTGAGCCCGAAAAACACATTTTTAGCTATTGGTCTGTCTGTCTGTCCCAAGATTTTCACGGGAACTATTGGACCGATTTCTTTATTTTATTTTTTTATTTTTTAGGGTTTTGACTATTGATGCCTGTGACGGAAATTCGGTGCTCGATGCACAATAGCTTGCGCACAATAAATGAAAGACATGTTTTTCTACAGACTGTAACTGCTCTAACGATTTTGATGAAACTTTCCTGTAATGTTCTAATCATCTTCCTTTCAATTTTCGTATATATACTAAATTCCTCCAAAAATTCAGGAAAAAAAGTTATAAAGAAAAAAAAATTGTTATGGGGCCTAACTCGCTAAGTATATATTATACGGTAAAATTTATAATAAAACTTTTGAAAGGTAATTAAATTACCAAAAAAAAAAAAAAAAATGGCTAAAGTTTTTGATCAGCAATATTAGTGAGTATTGAAATTTTTACACTACCTTAAGCCGGTTTACATTGTCAAATAAATCGTACTTAAATCTTTTGGTTGATCAATTTTCAGGAAAATAAATCTATTTCAATTTTTTTTAGTTTCTCCATGAACATATGAAAAGATATGAAACACTTTCTGAAATAGGTAGGAAAGTCGTGTGAGTGGACACACCAGATATTGTTATTATGTTATTTACTTTTTTCTCTTTAGTTTAGTTTTATAATTTACTAGTATTTTATTTTTTTACTATTTTATAGTATTCATATTCTTTGTTGCTTGTTTTTTTTTGTTCTATTCTCCTTGATATCATATATATTCATTAATATCATATTTGCTCATTACCATTGTAGTTAGCAAATTTATCTTGACAGAAATATATATCTTATAAATAAATAAAATAAAGTTTATTTATTTATTTTATTTAAGCTTAAAAATATTGGAAATATGTTTTTCAAAATCATGTTCAATGCTCTGTTGGGTTAATATAAATTTCAACATGATTTTTGATAAAATATTTACTAAATCATATTATTGAGACCCATTATTTAGTTATATTTTTTTGTTTAAATTATGGATTGATTATATTCATTTAAATTACAATCATCGTGTTATGGATTTTTTAAAATTTATTTTTAAATAATATAATATGAATAATTCTATGTCTTTACATTTCTTTTTTTGTTTTAGATTCCTTACATTGGGAGTTGGCATTTTCGCTGGCATCTTTCTCATTGTTATATTTTTCTTTATGTTCCTACCGAAAAGTTCTCAAGATGGGACTGTTTGCGACAAAGATGACAATGCCACATTTTGGCACTTACAATTTGAAGTAATATTCAGAAACATTTTATTTTTTATATATAAATAGATATTCCAATTAATTTTTTTAACTAATAGTTAAGAGTTAATTGCAAAATAATGATTTTTATGATGGTAAATAAAAATGTTTATATTTCTTATACTACTTCTGAGTAAAAGAAGAAATAAAATATAATAAAGACAGTTTTAAGGATATAAAATAATTAATTTTTTTGTTAAAAACGCTTACGTTTTAATTAAAAAATATTTTATTTAAACTTTAGAGGATTTGGTTAGTCTATATTTACTTCTTATCAAGTTTGTTCTAATTACGATACTTTACTATGACCCTTGGAATAATGTTCGCAGGTTCCCAGAGGATTATTTTTCTGTGCTGCTGCCAAATATTAAATTTACCAGGAAAACCGTACCCCTTCTATAAAAATAGTAACAAAAATATTACATAATTATTATATAACATATGTAATTTTTTCCCTTTCAAAGGTATTAAAATCCAAAAAAATCTCAAATTACAGTGTACAATGCTATGATAATGCCAGTTCTCATACATGACTGTGACACTTAGACACTAACCAGCACCCTAGAAAAAAGTATTGAAAGCTTTGAGATAAAAATTTGCCACACAATAACCAGAGCGATCTGTATTCAGAGTACTAATACATGGAGAAGAAAGACCAATAAAGAGCTGCTTATAGAAATTGATGAATCAATATCCCTTGATATGAAGGCATGGAGGTTAAGATGGCATGTAGCTCAGAGCAATCCATCTGGAAGCCTGCACACGACAATGAATGTCTTGATATAAGGCAAAAGACCACGTGGAAGGCCAAAAATCAGATGAACAGATCGAATTAACAAAGATTCAATCGAACTGTGTGCAGATAACCGGAAAGAATATATTCTCATATTCTCTAAAATATTCCCATATTCTCTCCTCTCTCTTCCTAACCTGGTTCATAAAATGCATACAAATACATAAAGTACAGTGGACGTGTGCAATAAATAATATAAAAGCTGTAACACATAATAAACAATTTCTCTCCCTATCCGCTCCCATGCACATGGTAGTGGATGATTCCCAGGGAGCATAGGATTATATTCTCTGTCAACCTTCCACGTCCTTTATGTCGACACTAAGGCCCTCCATGAAGCTCCTTGTTGAGTTCGGTATCGTTCCGCCAGCTCCGAACCAAAGGCCTCTCACATGGAACTCTCTCGGCCCGAAACTCTCACAGAACTTTTCAGTAAGGAAAGGGATGCATTTCTCATATGCCTGTTTTTTTTTTCCCTTTCTACTTTTCCTGCCTGATCGAGGTCATTGGTCTCATACCACACGGTAGGATCCAAAACCATCGCCGACTTTCCTGTCTTAGAGAATTCTACAATGTCGGCATATCGGATGAATCCATCCGTATCTATACAATATACTTCCTCTCTTTAAGGAGCCTCATCAGTTCATGTTTGACTCTCTGGCGAGGGTGTGTTATAAGGAGGGAGTTGTTGGGTCATTTTTCAAGCACATGTGCTGGTGTTTCTGACTCTTTGTCGCATTTGCGACAGAGGGATCCAACTTCTTGCTCTTAACTGTCCGCTGACATCTGGGACTCCACGCAGGGGTGCATAGTTAATACTTAGTTTCAGGGCATTTGACCTTTCAGACCGAGAAAGTTATATAACAAACAACTTTAAATAATAAACAGCCCAAAAATTATCTTTGTAATGAAGTATTGTTATTAAAAAATATATTGATAAAGAAAAGGTTAAATCTTAAGCATCAGCAGATTAAATTCATTTACTACTTCGATAACCAAAATGTTGTCACTTTTAATAAGTTTTATTGCATTTTAAAAAAGAACTGGTTGATTGTGTATAAAAAGCTAGCAAAAAACATTTAAGTTAAAAACTTATAAAAAATGTTATTATTGAAATCATAAATTAGACATCAAATACATCATCAGATTATTAGCTCTCAATAATACACTGTTAGTTACTATAACTACATATTGGGACTATTGTTTGGACTTAATGAACCAACTTTTTAATCAAGAACCTGTCTCTCCTCCCCCTTCCCCCCCAACATCAATGGTGTCCCACTTTACTGATGTTAAAATCTGATCACCTTACCTAACAGCTTATTTTCATTTGTTGTTATAAAATGTCTCATATTTCTAATATATATTATTTTTTTCTTACAGAAGGAGTCAGGCTGGGTATGCCCTGCAACTACCAGTTTGGCGCTCTGCCTCCTGTCTCAAATGACCGGATTTCAAATGTACGAGTTCTACGCTTCTTGGTCCATCCGTTTACTCAATATACCATTAGATACCGGAATCATGAAATCAGGTGTTATCTTTGTGACTGTCCTCTTGACGCTTCCCTTCTGGACTAGAAATAGGTTATCCATATTTCTTATAACTACGACTGGAATAATTTCTATTTGTTTGTTTCTAAGCGGAATAATTCTTCACGGTCTGGAAGCAGGAAATCCTGTATATCCGATTGTTCCTTTCTTAGTCAACACTGTTTTTGCCATATCTTATACTGCCGGGTTGTTGACGCTGACACCGATTGTCTGTCTCATTTTGATCCCTCGGAGATATCGTCTTGCTATATTCAGTATCGTAACGACAATAACTATACTAGATAGGAGACTCGTAAGAGCTGTAACTCCTACTTTTATCGAACTACTACATCCATTCGGCGTCTTCTGGCTCCATGCCGGAGCGACATCCCTGGGCTTGCTCTATATGGTGGTTGCGATTGTCGATCAAGTAAAAGACAGGCACAGGAGCATACCCTCTAGCCAGTGTACTGTCGAAGAGTTCATAACGCAAGTTTGAATTTATAATTTTTAAATCCATTAGGTCCGATATTTTATATATAATTATTATGTTGTATTGATATCAAATATTCTAGACTTTATATGAGAACTCTATAGGCAAAGGAGTATAATGTTAAGTGCATTACTGATCTGGAAATTTGTCAGTCTACTTCGTAGTTAAGAGGTATATGTTTTCTGTCCACGCTGTGCTTAATTATAGTAGCTAATCACATAACTTCCAAGCAAATGTTAACTGGGCTTTGGAAGTAAAAGGATACAAGCCCAATTTGGGCAAATTTTAATCAAATAACTATTACATAAAAGCGTGTTATATTTTAGAGGAAGGAGATGATCCGTGGTGGCGGTCATAAATAGACTAAAACAGTGGCAAAACTATTTTATTAAAAGCCAACGTTTCCACCCGACTTCACAGATCTTCTTCAGATAGGTGTGTTCAGAAAGGAGTTCCATTTAAAATTTCAATCTAATTAAAATTTAATCCAGTTTTATGTGAAACTCCTTGCTGAACACACCTCCCTGAAGAAGACCTACAAAGTCCGGTCGAAACGTTGACTTTTAATAAAATAGTTTTGCCACTATTTTAGTCTATTTATGACTGCCACCCCATCTCCTTCCTCTATAATACAACGGTCAACTGTTAAGTATTCAATGTGTTATATTTTAAATAATGATTATTTAATTTTTTGTATAAAAATAAACTGATTAGTGTTGCTTCATTTATTATGGAATAAAAAAATATTTATATAATACGACTAAATCTATTAAATAAAATTATTAATTCTTCATCATCATCTTTAGTCGGCTCTACAACCCACCACTGGGTCCTGGCTTCTCCTCAAGCTACTTTCGCCAGTTAATTTGGCCAAGTGCTGCTTTCCTCCAGCTCTGAAAACAAGTAGATTTTTCGAAAAATTATATAACTATATTTTTGATTATAAAATTATGCCTAGTTTTTGAAAATATTACCGATTTGAGATAGGATGGTAAGTTTCAATTTATTTTAACATATTGGAGTTCTTCTTTACTGAGGTTTGCCATAGAGATTACAGAAGTGAACGATATAAAAAATATAGATAATATAAAGATCTTGCATGACGTGTAATCTTAAAATTGTCAGTATTTCCAGAAAAAGCTCCTATGATAATATATTAACAGACTTTATTTAGAAGAAAACCGGAAAGTTACAATAAATCGATATAAGATGGTGATATCTAAAAGTTGATAATATTTTCATGAATAGCTTCTAAGGTGACCCAATAATCGTAAGACTTTCCATTCTGGTTGGAGGAGGGGGACGATGGACCTCCAAAAAGTTTCAGGAATTTATGTTATTTTTAAAAATTATCAGTGAAAATTAACATAATTATTGTAAAATGAACAATATAATAATATATATATAAATTAATTAATATATCTGTTAAATATTAGTAGCTTTATTTTCAGAGGGGTCTGAGCATATTTGAAAATATGTTAACTAAGCAATTGAATATATTAAACATTTTTATTTTTATTTAAAGGGCTGTGAGATTAATTGTCAATTCTCCGACACTTCATGGAAGGTTGCTCATGAATGAATCACAAAATGCTAGGATATGTTGGATTGTAAAAGATGTAATAAGTAGAACTCATCATTGTGAAAGTAATTTAAAACATTTTTAAATATGATGAGAACCCATTTCAACTGTAAGATTCTTAAATACTGAAAGACTTCTAAAAAAATAAAGTAGAAAACCATTGCAATGGCAAGAGAGGTATAACTTCAACCGTTGTTCACTCAAAACTTGGTTTTTGTGACATATATCCTTTTGCTTCTAGAGACCTCATATATTGTTGAATTTATTATTTATTGTATTTAAATCTATTACAATAGTTAGCTATACTTAGAGACTGATATTTAGTGCCATAAAGTTTTTAGTTCTGATCATTTAGTATTCAAATAAATATGATTTATTGATCAGACTCATAAAATATATAAATATATTGTACAAATGCAAGCTTTTATAATTTTGAGTTAATTTTTAAGGCTTTAATCTTAGTTAAACAGCCAATTTATTACCAAAAAAATAAACAAATATGAAACTCTTAGTTTCTAAATTCTTTGGATTACGATGATGTAGATGTCATTGTTGGAGCGTCTTGATTAGAAAGATATCAATTTATCTCTGACAAATAATATTCTTCATCCGTTATGAGTAATTTTGATAAAACTCAAAATTTGTCCTAGATATTTTAATATTGAAGATCCACCCATCATAAAAACTTTTCAGTGCCTTCTTAAGATTATCATCCACCATTGTAATTATTATAATATAAATTATTCAATAATGAAGAATTTACCAGCTTCAGTGTACAGAGCTGTTTATTCTTGTAATCAATTTTACCAAATTAGTGAGAAACAGTAAATAATTTACCTATATTCTGTCAATATTTCTGATATATATATCGTTTTAATTTTATGATATCTGAATACATCCATTGTGTTCATGCAATGACTTGTATAATGTTATATTAGAAATTATTTTATCGAAATATATTAAATAGTATAAATTGTTATTTTATTACAAAGATATTTTATACATATTTTTAATGGATTTTTCATAATTTTGTATTTATTAGCTTGTAAGAAAAATGTAAATATTATAGCTAATACTATATGTGTATATATATTTTCTAAATATATTGATGATTGTTATTTTGTAATTAAAGAATTCTTAAGTTCTTTATTTTATTTTTTCCACATTACAGTAATCCTGTAATATTTCTATGCGTACTATCTTATCGACATAATGCGTATTAAAAGATATAATTCATATATATATCATAATGTATATAAGTTTGAATAGTTTAAAATATAAGAAGAAGAAAATAAATAAGCTCACAAAAAGTAAAAGAACAATTATTAAGTACGATAAACAAAAAGTTAAAGATAAAAATCAACTGTTAGGAATTAGGGATTGAATAACAATATAAAAAGAATATTTACAATAGAAACGAACAAATAATATTCTAAAGACATTGGAAAGATGTTGAGAATTGAGTAGGCAACAACATTTACAGTATAGTGCAATAAAGAAATGATTAAACAACAGCTGTTTAAATATTAAGTACAGAGAAGTCAATTCTGTTCACAATAAAACCCTATTATTATTAAAATTAAACTCATTTAACACAGTAAATAGTAATTTAAACTATATTTCACAAGTTTTAACTAAAAATTATTTTTATTTATATTAAATTTATTCAAATTTTGGTTAAAACTTATTATAATTTTGAACATCAAAACTTATTTATGTGTTAGAAAATATTTAGTAGTTGACCATATTTAGATTCAAGTTAAGATTGTCAGTTTTAAATATTTTTTTTTTTTTTATATTTGACTTAAAAATCAACCAATGGCTTTATTGTGAGATACCATCAATTATAAAAGCATTTGTTAATGGATTATTTGATGGTCAACTTACAAAAATAAATATAGCAAACAATAATATGAACTCAATATTTCATAATTCAAAAGATAATATATATATTAAAAAAAGTGTTCTCCAAAATAACCTGGTTGATTTTCTAAGAAAGATAATGGATTTAATCTAAAAGTTCATACAGTGTTGATCTCCTTATCTTGTGACACCATGAAATATGAAACTATTTGCTTTTGTTTTTGTTTGATCACTCACTCTACAAAAGCTTAAACCAAACAGAAAGTATTTTGGTGGCTGAAGACCATTTAATTCATAGGTTGTTCTGTTTCACAGTTACAATATATGTACAAGCTTTCAGAAACTAAAAAATAGTAATTTTGCTAGTATTTATTTTTCCTAGTAAATATATTAATGAAGATGAGGATGGTTGGAGTGATCAGTCAGAAATAATATTTAATAAATATTAATTTATTAATAAATATAAATATTTAATTAATTAATAATAATAAATATTTCTGACTGATCACTCCAACTATCCTTCTCTTCATTATTCACGACAGTCAACCAACCATCAACCCACAATTATAAATATATTAATGATTATGGGTTATTTTTAATATTACTTAATAAAATAGTTAATAACAAAAGTCATTATTCGAAAAATATTTTAAAGTCAATAAAAAAAAAAAAAAGGCCCCTCACATATTAAATGCTGAATCTGCTAGTGGTTCTAACTATTCATAGTAAGAGTGGGAGAAATCTCCTAATGGACAAAATATTGATTTTATTTCAAAACAAAATATGAATATTATCAAAGATAATAATTTAAAAAAAAAATACATCTATTGAAATCCAACATATTAATAAAACCTAATAATTATAGTACAAAATTAATTAACCTCTTATATTTTGACCAATTGAAGAGAACATATTGTATTTTATTCTATACCAATCTTTATTTGCTGTAAATATTTTAGATAATCAAAGGGTTTTTTTGTTATGTATCTTATTTTATACCACTAGCGGATCCAGGATTTAATTTTTTTTTTTGGGAGGGGGCTTCAGCCCGAAAGATTTTTTTTTTCTATATATAACAATAATTAATTTAATAATTTGAAAAAAATAAAATAAAGAAACTAACTATCTATATGACATGGTGTTTAAGTGATTCTTGTAGTCCTATTAAATGTAATCACCCGAACAATAATACTTTAAGAGATAGTTTTAATATTTTTTTCTATAAAACATGGTTACATTTTACCATTTGGGAGGGTTTCAGCCTGATAGCCCCTCCTCCATAAATTATTCTTAAGAGACTTTGTCACAGAATAAAGTTGTTTTTTCTATTCTATAGTAAAAATAAAATAGTAACAAATATAGTAATTGTTAAAAGACAAAATAGGAAAATAATCCAATTAAAAGTAATGAAATAAAGGTGTTAGAATTCTGGCAGAGTAAGTTAATTTTACATTTTGTTAAGAAAGTAAATATTTTTATAATTTATTCTTATAATATAAGAATATTGTATATATTATTATATAATAAAATAGTATGTACTTTAGTGATACATTAATAACATTATATTAATAATATTCACTTAACATTAGGAAATATTTACAAAACATTCGCCTTTTGAACTACTAGAATAACCACCTTAATCTAGTATTATTCTAACATTCTCGAATAAACAATAAATGTATATATTTTTTGTCATGTATTTAAATCCTATAATTTAATAATTACATTGCATAATTAATTAATGTCATATATGATAAAAATTAAACTAAATCATTACAAAATAAATGCTTGTTAGTGTCTTGCATGATTGTGAGCAGGTGTGGAAATGGACGTTTGTGAACTAGCATTAAGAAGTATGGTGGATTTTAAGATGAAGAATTCAAATGCTTTATGAGCTCAGAAAATTTGTCTTACATAAATATAATTGAAAGTCCCAAGTTTCTTATATGCCTCATTCCGTTTTCATGAACTATGAATTAACAAATTCATTGATAAAAGTCTAATGTTGCAATAATTTTTTTATTCCATAGTGTACAAAAATTTATACCCAACAATTATGAAGTTTAGATTAAAATTTTGGAAGGTCTTCAATAAACCATAATTCTAAATTTTCTAGTCCCATCCTTCGGGTTTGGTGCCATTTTCTCATAATTTAACATATGTCTATTATAGGTCACCAAAAAAACACAGTTTTTTTATATATTACATGTATGTTTATTCAACGTTTCGGCTTCAGGAGCCATTTTCAAGAACCTGCAAACTAAATTTTAATTTACTTTTTACCATTCAAGTATAGCCTCAGACAATAAAGGTAGGTCTAATTCTAAAGGTAGGTCAGAAACTGCTGTTAATGATGGCATATGTTTCATATATATTTTTTTAAATAATCTGGTGGGGGATTTGATATTAATCCATATAAATTTTCTTTAAAATAGAATTTTTCAAAATATAAGTAAAAAATATGTTTTTTACATATATTTATTTTTTAAATATATATTTTATCGGACACAAAGTAAGCAATATTCAAAAATAAGTTAGACTTATTTTATTCTGATCCAATCTATTAGACCAATTATTCTGGGACTTCACGCTAAGAAACCAATTTTAAAGTTTCTTAAATTCATTAATTAGCAAATTAAATTCAAAAGGAAACTTGGGATTGTTCTGAATAAAAAAAATAGTATGAGAAGGAGTTGGTGGGGTTGTGCGGTCAAATAAATACCAAATTTTAAAATTTAGTATTTATTTGACCACTCCTCAGCTAACTCCTTCTCATATTATATCACTGTCTACCATCTTTTCATCATCAGGAAAAATAATAATTATATCCAACATATCATGAAAGAGAATTATAACAAGTTGTTTATTCGGTTAAATAAAAAATATTGAGAAGATAATTTAGGAAAAAAGGTCAAAACTGGAAAATGATAAAAATATATTTATCATAACTCTGTCTATTTTTATGAACAGTAGATTTTAAAAGAATGAAGAACAGGAAAAGAATGATTTAATACTACCAAGAAGATCTAATTCAAACTAATCCATTTTAAGAATTCAAATAACATTTTAGTCAATTAATTATAATACAAATTATAGTAATTAGTTTTTAAAATGTTCAACAATTCTACGCCGTGTAAATATTGGTTAACTTTTATGATAGTCATGAAAACCAACAAGGACAAGATTGTTATATAGATATGAAATTTTTATTTATTTTTCTGAATACATATTTGCCATAAAACATTTTTTTTTATTAATTTATTGAAATTTACAACTGTATAAATAAAATACAATAAGTAAATATTTTATAAGAATATAAAACATGGCAGTAGTTTGTGAAGAGTCTAGCACTTCTCTTCAAAATTTAAGTTTTCGAACAGAGTGGATTGGACTATTTAATTTTAAATGTATACAACATTAAATACTTATGCAGTTATTGACAAAGAATACTTTAAATAAAGTATTAAAGTATATTAAAGTATTCAAGTATTATAAAGTATTATTAAAGTATAAAGAATACTTTAAGGAAAATATAAAATATTACAAGAATATTATTTATATAGAAAAGCACTAAACACTAATGGATCCAGGATTTAATTTTGGGGGCTTCAGCCCGAAAGATTTTTTTTTTGTATGAATATATTAGGATAATTACTTCAGAAGAAAGAAAGAAACTAACTATCTATATGGAATGGTCTTTTAGTAATTCTTTAAGTCCTATTAACTGTAATTAGATGAACAATAATACTTTTAGAGATAATGTGTTTTTATAAAACATGGTTATATTTTATTATGTTTACCATAGCCGGAAAGCCCTCCCCTCCGTGGCACTAAGTAATTACAAATTCATCAATGTGATTTCAACATTTTTTTAGGACTGATAGATAATAAAATATAAACTATTTTGTATATATTTTTTTACAGAAATAAAAAAATATTTTGTTCATCGAAGCAGATACAATTTAAAAAAACAAAACATATTATAAATTGCTGTTATATGTAACTAGTTCATATGCAAATAATCGGTCAGTGATCAAATGGTAATATAATATGAAACTAAGTAAAAAATGTACAATGTTATGAGAAGAATAAATCAATTTTTACTTTTAATTATTTATACATGAAATATTTAGATAATTATCAAAGTTATTTACATTTTTGTTTTAGAAGAGATAAACTATTACAATACAAAAATGAATTTAGGTAGATACAATGGATATTTCTAAAATAAATAATATATTATATAGTTTTGTTTTATATAATTAGATTAAACTATATTATAATAATATGTTGTAATTCAAGCATAATAAAAAATAAAAATAATTATTGTTTATAAGTGTATTTAGTATATTACTGAAACTTCATTTAAATAAAGAATAATACAGTGTATATAAGTCAATAAAATATGTTAACATAATATATATTCATATGGTACGATATTAATAAGAATCTTTTGAAATATTTAGGTCATAATTGAAATTGGTGGTTGCTTAAATGATATTAAAAAAAAAATGTTGATAGTAATTTATTTTTATTATTGAAATAATTAAATTAAATATTTTATTTAATAATTGTATTAGTTTAAAAGAAAAATATAACGTAATGACTGTTTACAAAGCATTTTAAATGTATCGAAATTAAAGGAATATTTTTAGGCCATGTGACAAGTGGCAACATTGTGAACTATCGATAGTAGATATCGAAGATGGAGTCGATAGTTGCCCCCAGACCGGACCGAGCAACAAGTGGGCAGTATAACTATGGCTGCCGTTTCGGTGTTGTCGTGTGCTTTAGTTTCAGTTGTTCTGTGCAGTTTCTTCGTTTCTGAAAGTTATGGAAAACGTAAGTCTTATTTCATTATATATTATTTAATTATATTTAAAAAATGTGACATGTGTTTTTATTAAAAGAACAAAATGTGATTTTTAACATTTTTGCTTTGTTATCTTGAAGGTTTTTATTGTTTTATTTTTACCAACTTAAACTCGAAAATGTTAAATGATTTTAGTTGACTTAAAACTATTTTAATTAATTAAGTGATGAATTTTCCCTGAGGAACAATGATTTTTTCTGTTTATTCTAACTCTATTGTTTTATAAATATAATTTTTAATATAGTTAATATTTTGTTTATATATTGTAATTATAAAAACGCATATTTTAAAGCAATAATTTGAAATTAATATCATAAAATCCAAAACTGACAGATCAGCTGTACCGATTCAAAGTCTCAGTTCGCTTCTCGACTTTCTAAGATTGAACTTTGGTTTTGACCCTTTCGGTTTGAGTTTATTTTTATAATTCTGTTACATTTTTCATTTAATTTTGAAACATATATTTTTTATTTTATTTTCTAAAATTAAATAAATTATTAAAATTCTGATTTATAACGCGTTTTATTTTTGTTAATAGCGATTGTTATTTACGCTCTTGAATTGCAAACAAGCTGCCATTTTCAAAAACTCATAAAATAATATATTTTCATTTTAGTTTACAATTATTTATTTAATGCGTTGTTTATTTTATATTATCAGTGTAAAATAAATATTCTTTCTATAAAGTCACAATACATGTTAATTTTCAATTTTTTTTTTCGTACAAAACTTTTTCATTGAAGACATTGTCAAAATAAAATTCATTCCTTTGGTATTTCCTGCTGTCTGTGCAACATCCGAACATTCTCCCTCTTGTAACTATGTAATCGTTCTTGTTTGTCTTGTATTAATCCTGTTTAAGTATTTTAATACCATTTTTTTTTTTCTTATGACATCAGTATTTGACGATAAAATACAAACCATCGTATGTCAATGTTATGTAATTAGTCAATAAGGATTACAATGTCTTGAGTTTAATCTGTTTTAAACTTTATAATTGTTACGTTAATTTATTTCGTTCTTAAATTTTTTTATTGAAATTATTAGAAATTTATTTAATTAATAGAACAGGACTAGTTTATGTATTATTTTGCTTTCAAAACTTTCTAAATTTGAATGAGTGGGTTGTTGACATTTCTGCATTTCTTTGCTTTTCTCATTTTAAGTATTTAGTGTATTTCATTCGTTTTTGTTTATAGTTTTTGTTGTCAAATATTTAAAATGGTTTATTTGGATTTAGTGATGCGTATATTGATCATTTTAAATGAAGAGAACAAAAACTTTAAAATATTGATTATTTGTTGAATTATCATGAAATAATATTGTTATTCTTTGAGTCGTATTTGGAATTTTGTGATGATTTTTTTTGGGGGGGAGGGAGGGGGAGAACCTGCAATGAAAAGTTAACTGGTAATTTTTGATAATTTTTGTTTTGGAACTAGAAGTTTTTCCCATAGAAATTTTAAATTAATGGTTTTACACACCTTTTATTTAATATATATATATTTAAAAGTACTTAAAATAAAAAATTCACTTAAATAAATTTAAAAAATTGTAATTGCGATGTAAATTTTTAATTATCAGGATAATTGTATCAGTAATTTAAGCCCAATTACTGCTTATTTAAAGTTAAAATTAAACTTGGAGACTACATTCAGAACTATAAAAAAAAAAAATTGTTTAGAACTTTTATTTTAAATCTTTTTTACAATTAAGTTCCATCGGTACTGCTTAATTGAACTTAAAAGTTTTAGCTACTTCTATAATATATTTGGCATAAAAGAAAATTAATTTTTTTTTAAAATGTGACTACAATCTCAACCAAATTCCCAACGATATTATCTGTCCTGTATGGCGAAATTTTAGTTAATTAAATAAGTATTGGTATTAAGTTCTAATGAAAATAAGATTATTATTTTTTTTTTATATTGGAGTAAATATATATTGAGTGATATAATAACGTATAATTTATAAATATATTTATATGCTTGCGCTTAAATCGTTTTTAAAAAGTTCGATTTTAACAGCTTCCTAGAAACTGTTTTAATAAAAACTTTTTGTAATAAAGTTCTAGGTTTGTTGAAAAATTTAATTTTTTAAATTTAAATTATGAAAGAAAACACTGAATGAGAAATAAACATTAATTGGGTTTAGGTTACAGATACAATGTATCTTGAAAAAAAAGTCCAATTCTTATATTTTTTATGTTAAAAATATAAGTACATAATTTTTATTTTTATATTTACTTATCAATGAAATGAATTACTTTAACAGAACTTTTATTTATTAATTTCTTATATAAAAGTTATAAAAATCGTTTCTCGGGAAAATTTCTTTTGAAACAATATCAAATAAAGATTCCATTCATATTGCAACTTTAAACAAAAATAAAATTTAATTTTCATTCTAAGTTATGAATATGCACAGTACCATAATGAAGTCAGCGTTGAAAAATAATGAATAAACAAAAAAAAAAAATCGTAAGTGATGCAATTTTACGTCTACTGTATGTTTAATATAGAATGTATTCACTAACCATAGCCCAGTCAATTATAATAATTATTTTCTTTTTATTTAAAGTACACTTATATAAAATATTTTACAGCAATAAACTTGCCATCAATTATTTAGTTTTGAACGGCTATAACGATTTTAATAAAACTTAGATAAAGTCTTAAAGCCCTTTCAAAATTCAGGAGGTTCAAAATTTTATTTTCGTATAACTTGAAAAGTACATAATTTTTGGTTCATTAAACTGTTTGAGCATTTGAAAGCTTCCCGGATTCTCTGCAAGAAGAAAACATAATAAATATTGAAATCTAAAAGAATTACGTCAGATACGATATTCTCATTTCATTTTTTCGGTTTATTTTTTTTTAGGATTGGAGTAGTTTCTCTTCATGTTGTACATGTCATGTTACTAATTTCAATAAATAAAAAAAATTGGAAATATGCAAATTCATTTATGTTTTCAGAAATTTTCAATAATGATTATGATCGAGTTCCGACCATTTGGCTAGGTATAATAATTCTATTTATTTTACCCCTCTTATGAAATTGTATAATAAGCAGTTAGCTCATCGTTTATCGAGTGATGTATTAATTTAAATGTTGTATCATAATAATATATAAAAAATGGGTATTTGAATTAATCATTACGAAATAAATGTACTTATCTGCGCTCATATTTCAAATATGTCTCTATAAACTCTCTCGTATCTAGAAAAGTAATGAATCAATTCTGATAAGACCTGATAATAAATTATAATAATCTGTAATTTAATTAATATAAGCGATAATTCTAATCACTTATAATTCAATTTAACATCTAAAGTGTCTCGTTCACGTATTAATGACTTCTGGAATGTATTTAATTAAAAAATTTAATTTCCTATATTTGAAATAAACTATTTAAATGATATGAATTTGTTACATCAAAGTCGATAGTTGGATTGAATAAGTTATTGAATCGATTTGTCTTCAAGGAAGGAGCGATCGATTGTTTGGTTAATACTTGACTGGATTGTCTGACCTCGAGTCTCTTTAGAAATCATTAGGACGGAAAACAAATACCACATACTTATCGACCAAAAATAGGATACCTCACTTCAACAATCTAAAAAAAAACTATACTACAACTCTGAATAAAACACATGACTATATGTAATTTGTTTGTTTGCATATGGCTGTTGAAATGAGATGTGTATTTCCTAATTGGTAGTTATTCAATCTTATAGTTCGATCTGTCATATGAATGTGCAAAACTTTGACTGATTATTTTTTTAATAATAAAATTAAGTTTGTTTTTTCTATACCAAAAAAAAAAAAATCCCAATTTATTGTGGATTGCGTTGTAAGAATCGGTGAGCCATGTATAGAAATATATATATGATTAGAATGAAAGAAATATAATAGATCTTTATATAAGTTCTGCTTGCCAAATATAGGTTGATTTTTATGATTTTATATTTTATTTTTTGATTGAATCAATGAAAAACAATATTTATTTGTGTTACTTTATTAATAAAAGTGTTGTTAGTTTAATGTAGAGTTCATTTCTGTTAGTGCATTATATATTTCCGACTTACTGCAGCACTTATTAGACAAACTCTCTAAGCTTTCAATTAATTACAAAGAAACTCATATAGTCCGTGGTACAAACCCTTGTTTATCAAATTATTAACATCCGCCTGAAATTTCGTAAATAGCTTCATCTCATAGTAATCTGCAACTATTTTATTTACGAAAATCCTTGAATTGTGGCGTTATCAATCTGGAGATTGGCAAACTTTGTCTATTTAATTAGGTACTAAAAACTCGTAAATACCCATTTGGTTTCCACTTGGATCGTAAGATAATTTGATCACAAAATCGAGAAAAAAGATGGCCTTCTAAAATATTGAGCTGTTTGGCGTGAGCTACATCCTCAAAATGTCAAAACAGGGAAGTTATGTAGCCCAAACGGCCCAATATTTTTGTAGGCCTTCTTTTTTATTGATTTTGTGATCAAATCATCTTACGATCCAAGTGGAAAGCAAATGGGTATTTGTAAGTTTTTAATACGTAATTGAATAGACAAAGTTTGCCAACCTCCAGATTGAAAACGCCCTAATTCCAAGAGTTTTCGTGAATAAATTAGTTGTAGGTTACGATGTGACGAAGTTTCAGGCGGATGTAAATAATTGAATAAAAAGGGGTCTGTTCCACGGACTAATTTACAAGGGTTTTCAGAGTTAAGTGGACAAACTGAAAAAATAAACTAAGGACCTCAAGACAAGAAAACAATTTCCTTTGAAAGTATGCCTGCAAACGCTTTGTTTAGGAGATATTCACACCTAAAGATTTTCATTGTTATGAATTATTTACGTTTTATGAAGTAAATAAAGCATATTTATTTGTTCTAATTACTTTATTGATTAAATGTAAACATGTGTGGTTGTGGATAATAGACAATATTTTAATAATTTTCTTAATTATTCCGCATTTCTTGCCTCCTCGACTCAATGCGGGTACATTTCTTGAATTTCTTAATAATGATTACTATGATTTAGTTGAACAAGTTCCACTATAACTGAGAAGGGACATGTAGCTTCAATTAGATGGCTGTCCTGCACATTACGGATGAGGCACACGACAATGGCTAAATGTTAATCATCCCAATCAATGGATTGGCCATGCAGGACCAGTGGCTTGGCCTGCACGCTCTCCAGACCTGACACCACTGGATTTTTTTGTTTGGGGCAACATTAAACAAAAAGTCTTTGTAAGTCCGATCCTTAATTCCTTACGAAGAAGGATAATTGAATCTCGTGAAACAATAACACATATCCAGTGCCGTTCTGCCACTGCTGCTGTTGAAGAAATATTTCGAGCCTGTCTTAATGCTCAAGGAAATCACTTTGAACAACATTTAATATGAATTTAATGTTTAAGATTAATTAATAAAGTGTTTGGAACAAATAAATAAGTTTTATTTACTTAATATAATGTAAATAATTCATAACAATGAAAATCTTTAGGTGTGAATATCTCCTTTAGGGCTTATTTTTAACGCTTGAACACAAAGCGTTAAAAATAAGCAAGGAATTTGTTTTTTTGTTTTCCAGACCTTAATTTATATTTTCAGTTTGGCCACTTAGCCCTGAAAAATCATGTTTATATGACTATAATAAGGTCCACTAGCGGATTCAGGATTTAATTTTAGGAGGAGCTTCAGCCCGAAATTTTTTTTTTTTTTCATAAAAATTACAATAATTACTTTGAAAAAACAGAAGGAAATTAACAAGCTATAGAAATGTTGCTTAAGTGATTCCATAAGTCCTTTTAAATGTAATTACACGAACAATAATACTTTAAGAGGTATTTTTTGATTTTTTTTCCCCCATAAAACATAATTATATTTTACCATTTTTTTTTTGGGGGGGGGCTTCATCCCGAAAGCCCTCCCCCCGTAGATCCACCCGTGATAAAGTCTTATTGAGTTTTGGGGCTCCACTATACCATCGAATTCCTCTCGTATCCAATCCTTACAGTCCCAAAATCTTTCGTAAGATCCTTATGCTCCGTATTTTTTCACAAATGAAATCATCCATATCGACTATATGGACTAAGATTATAATCTTACTTGTAAAATGTTGTTCTTAACTCTTTGAATGTCTGTGAAGCGTCAGCTGTGGATAACATGCCTCCTGTATAGATGTGAGATTTGTTCTTTGTTAGGTTGTGCAATGGCAATACAGCTGTTACCTTGCGGTCTGCCCCTCGCCTGTTGGTATTATACTCTTCGACATGATGTCGCGCCTAAACATGAATATATATCTCCGAGGCGTCGGCCATGTTGTGTTGATACAGCTGATATCATTTACCCATTACGGATGCTGGGTGCATCTCGACCCTAAGAGGTAATGGAATGGACTCATTAGGCCACAAATGTTCCCATCCAAGGACATCTTCCAAGGACTTTAGCAGAAATCGACACGTGTGTTCTTTTCCTTCTTATTAGCGGTTTATAATAAGTATCCTTTGATACAGCAGAGATATGCGTTTAAGGTTGTTATTGTCTTCAGATCCTACTGCGATTGCTAAACTATTTCTTTATTTTAATATTTGCAAACTAATATTCTCGCGGAAGAACTCACACATTAGGTAGGAAAATATCTATCCTATCTCTTTTTTACATTCGATATATAATGACATTAGTGAAACATTTTTATTTAAATACACAATATAATATTACCAAGACATTAATAATTTTAATCCGTGGTACAGACACCTTTTTATCAATTTATTAACATCCGTCTGAAACTTCGTGAACGACTTCATCTCATCGTAACCTTCAACTGTTTTATTTATGACAGTTCTTGGAATTGGAAAGTTTTCAATCTGAAGATCGCAAACTTTGTCTATTTAATGAGGTATTAAAAACTCGTAAATATCCATTTGCTTTCTACATGGATCTTAAGATAACTTGACAACAAAATCGGGGAAAAAAAAAACTGGCCTACAAAAATATCGGGTCGTTATTTTGACAATTTGGAAGAGTAGATGACTATGTAAAACATAAGCAACGCTCTAGGCACAACAAAACACGATAGGCATCCATGGTAACCACGTGGTTGGCATGGTAACCGTAACACCCGAAAACCTCGGCATTGGCAATAATTACGATTCCTATCGAAAACAGAACATTTTTATAGTATTTAATACGCAGTCCTTTAAATGGTAAATTATAATCATATTTTACAAACTATCACGAACTAAATATTCCTGTTATTTAAATTTTCATTTATATTCAACGATGAATTGATGGAAACATTTCCTAGGATTTTATGATTCATTTACCTCTCATATGTACACCTCTATTTCCACGTGTTTTTCTTATATTTTTTTAAAGGTAAAGGTGGAAAAAATATTAGTCAGTGGTAAAGATCCCTTTTTATCAATTTATTAACATCCGTCTGAAACTTCGTGAACGACTTCATCTCATCGTAACCTTCAACTGTTTTATTTATGACAGTTCTTGGAATTGGAAAGTTTTCAATCTGAAGATCGCAAACTTTGTCTATTTAATGAGGTATTAAAAACTCGTAAATATCCATTTGCTTTCTACATGGATCTTAAGATAACTTGACAACAAAATCGGGGAAAAAAAAAACTGGCCTACAAAAATATCGGGTCGTTATTTTGACAATTTGGAAGAGTAGATGACTATGTAAAACATAAGCAACGCTCTAGGCACAACAAAACACGATAGGCATCCATGGTAACCACGTGGTTGGCATGGTAACCGTAACACCCGAAAACCTCGGCATTGGCAATAATTACGATTCCTATCGAAAACAGAACATTTTTAGTATTTAATACGCAATCCTTTAAATGGTAAACTATAATCATATTTTACTGAAAAAATATTAAAAACTATCTCTTAGAGTATACTTGTTCATGTAATTACATTTAGTAGGACTTCTTCCACTTAAACGTCATTTCATATAGGTAGTTAATTTTTTTTAAAATTGATTATCGTTATATATATGAAAAAAAAAAAACTTTCGGGCTGAAGCCTCCTCTCCAGAATTAAATCCACTAGTGCCGTGTCGTAGACTTCACAATTTATCCTGTCTCGATTTTTTAAATGTTGAAGACATCTTTGTTTAGGATCCATCAGATTTTTTCAATGACTTTTATAAAAAATGTGTAATTTAAAGATCGAAATTAGGTTTCGTCATTATCTCTTCCCCATGAAATTGCCTTATATTCATCGCTCCTGTGAGGCGTAAAAATGATCTTTACTACCGTATTATATATATTGTAGTTGGATGTTAAGGTAAAACAATATGGCAGCTTCCATGACCTCATACGGTTCTGTTCCAATCGAAAAGGCATTGCACTTCAGGTGACCGACCTACAGCTCAGCTGGTCAACAGCACTGCTTACTGTATAATTAGGGATCAGATCATGGTGTTCGTTATTATTGTTTATCACAAAGGCTTCCTCTCCCGTCACAAATGGGTCGTTATTACAACCACTGTTCCGTGTCCGATTTCAAACTGTGATGGGACTTTTGATTGTTTTGGCTGTATCATACAGTGGCTATAGTGTTATATCCTGATTTGATCAAAACAGCTGATACATAATGTCTTTAATCATACAAAATCTATCATATGTTTAGGGAGTTAGTTGAGGATTGCAAAGAAAAATAAATAAAAAATTATTTTATGCCAACATTTCGTTATGTTTGAACTTTTCATCGGGGCTTACAAAAGACATGATAACAACCATAAAACATATTAGTAAGAAAATAAAAAACGCTACAAATTATTTCACAATGGTTTATTATCTCCAAACGATTATACATCTAAAGTAACATTACCTTCCGAGTTACAAAGAAAAAAAAAATAAAAGCTGATTCCAATTATTGGACTAAACTATTTTTCTTTAATCATTAGTAATATGCTAAAAAAAAATAGCATTAGTTCAGTAACACATTTAACATTTAAAACCAAACAAAGGATATAACATTTGGAGTAGAACACATTAAAAAAACCGGAGACCATATCTTTGCTCCTAATTGTCCGATTTTAACGATTTTTTTTTAAGGAAATTTCGTAAACTTTTAAAAAACTATATACAATATCAACAAAAAAGTAAAAACTTTTCGAGTTATTCGGAATTTAAATTTACCATTCCTCGTTACTTTTTTCCAGCTTCTTTTCGTTGAAGTATGTTATATAGATAAATTTAAAGGGCGTCGAGTAAATGACTTTAGCGAAGTTTCATTGAAATCTGTACATTCGTTTAGGAGCTACAGTCTATAGCAACGCAGGTTTTTCGGCCGCCATTTTGAAAGTTAAAGGCGGAGAGTAATGTCGATGAAGGAGGATCATCCTCGGGTGACCTCTGATTTTATATCAAAATTTGAAAAAAAAATCGGTCCAGTAGTTTCGGAGAAAATGCGCGGACGGCGGACGGACAAAAAAAATTTTATTCGTTTTTCGAATTCTACGCGTCTTGAAACGTGAAACCTCAAATTTTGAGAGGGGGTTATGTTTTTGAATTTTTTGGTCGATCACAATGTTTCATTATCGAAAATAATAAACCAAAAATATTTAAACAAATTTTATCTAATAATAAACAAATATTAAGAAGTGAATAAAAATTACATTATGTAAAATAAATTAAATTTTTTTACTTTCTCTTACATATTTATGCAATATATAGTTAAAGTTGGTATTGTAATCGTGAAAAATTTTGAATCTGAGTTTTTAACGAAAATACACGTTTTGAGGTCCCCTGAGTCCAAATAACCAAGTCCCTCAAAATGGTCTGTGTGTGTATGTATGTTATCAGTCTAGCTCAAAAACGAAAAGTCATACGTAACTCATATTACGTATTTAAGGTGTTTATGAACTTTAGATGTTACAGACAAATTTTCTTAAAAATCGGCAAAATGGAAGTGGTACTTTATATAATCGATTTAACACATGTTTACGATTTTCTCAAAAATAGTTTTGATTAAACTCAGTATATCAGTGTATTATTAAGCAGTTTTTAATATAATGTAGGTTTTATTCTCATTGTTCTCTATTAGGGCTTAAATGACTAATTTTCAATATTAGCTTCCTCTAAAGTGCCTTTAATTTTTTTAAATTTTAATATTAATCTTGATGTCTCCTGAGTCCAAATAACCAAGGCCCTCAAAATGGTATGTGTGTGTGCGTATATATGTATGCGAACAGTGTAGCTCAAAAACTATAAGTCGTATTTAAGTTAAAATGAATATTTAATGATTTTATATATCTCAGATGATACAGCAACTTTTTCGTCAAAATTGGCTAATCAGAAGTGGCACTTTATATAATCGATTCTACACATGTTTACGATTTTCTCGAAAACGGCTGTAACGATTTTGATTCAACTCGGTATATCAGTGTACTACTAATCAATTGTTAGTATAATGTAGGTTTTATTCTCATTAATGTTCTCTATCAAGGCTTAAATGGCTAATTTTCAATATTGGCTAAAGTACTTTTATTTATTTTTTTTATTTGAAATAATTAACCATTTCACATTAATCTTTAATATAAAAAATAGTTAGATATAAAATATGAAAGAATTTGATAATTAACTAGAGGAGAAATAAGAGCTCGTAACGGGTAATATTTATAATAAAAGAATCAAAGTTATACGAGCTCGCCCGAAAGATTACAACAGGCTTCCATACATAACATGATGAGCTTCATATAATACGGATACCGATAATATTATGTTCATATACATATACGGTTTTCATAAATGCTATCGTTGGTATCATTTAATATTTAATTTTATAGAATACATCGATATAAAAATTAAAATTTGTATTTATAAGAGCATTTAAACAAATAAAAATACTTACAATGAATTGCAAATAAATATAGCGTCAATAATTTTTACTTTCACTTCCCCTTAGTCTGAAAATATTTCTGCTAAGAAGAGTAAGTGAAAGTCGTGTAATGTGCGCACCAGATTTTTTTGGCATCACAGACTTATAAAAAGAACTCACGAAGTTTCTACTTACGAAAATTAAGTGCAGTTCCTACTTGATACAAATTTCTTTAGAAACGAGAAGTTTTTGTTCTATACGTGCCTGGACAAGTATAGTTTTTTTTTTTTTTTTTTATAATATCCAAAACTTTCTCGTTTCGTAGCAAAGAGATATGTTCTCACTTTCTCAGTTTTTATACGAGTGATATTTTTATCCAGAACTGTTCAATTGTATTATATTTTTTCCAATCAATATATGAAAAATATATTTTTTTTTTAACTATCAAAGCATACACAATTCCTTCCGATCAAGACACCGCAGGTTCCTTTTCAATAATAAAAAAAAAACGGATACGGAATTAAAGATGAAAGCGAAAGACATTCACAACTCTCACTATTTAATAACTTTCGCGGTCAATAAAACCTCACGGTGATAAATCAGAATTATTATTCAATATTACTTATTATTCAAACATGAATAATACTATGTAAAGAAAGTTATGAATTGAAAGCAGTGCATTAAG